ACCAGTTGATGGCCATATTTCTAACAAACATATACAGCAATCTTAATATCTATGATCAGCTGATCCAAGAGGGTTTTAAATAGTTTATAAAGCTTCAGAAGAACCAAATCTATCAGACAAATGTAGTTAAGTAGAAATGAAAATAGTTAAGTAAAAAATGTTTAAGATACTTTCCCTAAGTTGAGAACTAGACGATATTAATACAATTAACATAACACAACAGACAGCTGAGATGTAACATTTTAATTTCCCTCGTTTGTTAAACCACTGCAGCCTAATGTTTAATGATCAGATATTGTTGATTCTCCAAGTAACTGTCAATACATTTTGTACCAATATACTGTAATTCAATAATCAATCCTGAACTTCCCCTTTAAAACACACCAGAGACCCATCATTTTCCCCTCAATTGAAAATTATAAAAAATATATATATACAGTATTTTACTAATGAAAAAGGAGTGCATTACTTCCACTAGTAATGTCTGCAAGTATGAAACACTTTTTGAACACACAATTCTGAGACAATAAATACTTTTCTTGTCCCCCTGACATATAAAGAAGTGGTAAAAGTTTATTTCTGAGTATAGTTTTCTGATCACTTCAAGTCATGACGGCAGGTAGTGCAATCCGTAGAATAAACTAGAGTACATTAGAACATACTCATCAGTATTTTATGTGTTTTTATGCGTCTCATCAAGGTGAACCATATGTGATCAGATTCTGAAAAATTAACAATATGTACAATGTACTTCCCCAGTTGAATACATTTATTACATTTAGTGAGAGTGAATCTTTCTGTAGAAAATCAAATGGTTGTTCTACTCAGTGTGATTGACAGGAGAGATGATCAGAGGGGCAGAGTTTTTACCATCATAATTAAGATGGGGACCAAAGTATGGGTAGAGTTTCTCTTTGAAGCAGCAGCCAGTGAAGGAGTAGATCAGAGCTGCAGCATCAACATCATAAAAGGAGACCAGACCCTCCTCATAATCCACAAACACCCCCACCTTCCCAGGCTGAGACTTCAGAGAGAGACGGACTGAAGGACCAGCACAAGCTTGGTACTCATTTTCATTCCTCACCCATATCGTCCAGTAACCATTCTGAGGAGACACTGAGATCTGTCCCTTCCTGTTGATCGACTCTCTGACCACTCCTAGAGTCCAATAAGTCTTCCCTTTAACCTGAACCTCGTAATAAAATCTTCCTGAAGAGAAACTCTGCTTTGCTAAAACATTAGGACAATAATCAAATCTCTCTGGATTGTTTGGGAGATTCTTCCTCACATCACCATGTTTAACTTGTTTTCCATCATCAGACAGGATGAGTTTGAGATGTGCTGTATCAGGATCAAGAGTCACCTCCACCTCATACTGCTGGACCCTCTTCAGCTCCACCTCAGGGAGCAGCTTCTTCATCTGTTTACTGAGCGTCTCCTCCAGCTGAGCCACAGCTCTCCTCACAGTCCCCTCATATGAAGGTGGACGGACCCTGACTTCTGTCCAGTTCTTGGTGGGTGGAGCAGCGTTCAGGGACATGAAGCTTTGGAGGAGGTGGAGCTGGTCTTCAGAGCGTGAGAGCTGCTCCACCTCAGAGCTTCTCTTCTTCAGCTCAGAGATTTCCTGTTCCAGCTCTTTGATGAAGCCTTCAGCCTGTTCCTCTGTCTCTCTCTGCTTCTCTTTGATGGTGTCGATGAGCTCGGCCTGGCTTCTCTCAACAGACTCCTTCAGAGCGGTGAAGACCTGAACACCATCTGCTATCTCTCTGTCTGCTCCTTCCTTACTGAGCTCCACTGAGCGACTCATCTCCTGAATCTTCAGTCGTCTCTTCTGGATCATCTGCTGAATTTCAGCCTCTGTCTTCCCCAGCTCAGCCTTCTTTCCTTCATATTCTTCTTTCAGAGGAACAACATCATGTGTCTTGTGGTCTAAAAGAGTGCAGAGCATGCAGACACACACCTGGTCGGTCTTACAGAACAGCTCCAGCAGTTTATCGTGCTTCACACACATCCTGCTTTCCAGGTTCTCCACAGGGTCGATCAGCTGATGTTTCTTCAGACCTGCTCTTGTCAGATGAGGCTCCAGGTGAGTCTCACAGTAGGAGGCCAGACACACCAGGCAGGACTTCAGGGCCTTCAGTCTGGTTCCAGTGCAGGCGTCACAGGGAACTTCTCCTGGTTTGACAACTTGTTGCTCTGAGCTGCTGCTGCTGGCTTTCTGTTGAGCTGACTGTCTGAACTGAGCAGCCATCTCAGAGATGAAAGTGTTGACCAGCAGCTCAGGCCTTGTGTGGAATAACTTTTTACAGTTGGGACACTGATAGGGGACTTTAGTATCCCAGTGTTCAGAGATGCAGGCTTTACAGAAGTTGTGTCCACATGGTGTGCTGACTGGATCAGTGAACACATCCAGACAGATGGAGCACAGAAACTGATCTTCAGTCAGCAGACAGCTGGCAGCAGACATGTCTCTCTAGGGACAAAACGTTTGAAAAAAACAAAAACTGTAATGTATATGATTTAATCTCTTGTATCCGTTTGCTATAAGTCAAATAGATGGTGATACTGAACTCTGCTGATGTATCATGATTATGCGGAGGGTGAAAGATTGCTCAAATTTGCAATTCACTGTTATTGTTAAATGTTAAAAAAATATCTCTGTTTGTTAATATTATAAATGAAATCTGGAAAATCATAGCAGCATTCAGTTTAAACTCTAAGAAACACAATGTGTAAGCTCTAATGCTGTTGGGGGATTTTGCCGTTGTTGAACAGAGGAGTGAAACCTCCTGCTGAGCATCACTGAAGTTAATACTAGTTGTTGTTGTCGTGTGCTGTGCTGAAGCGCAATCATCCTTGTACATTACTGTTTTATATACAGTACTGTATTCACTGTATTTATTATTATCTGTGTATTTATTCTTATTTATACATTTCCCATCTATTTACCTTTATTTTTGTATCATTTATTTTGTACATACTTCTGATAATTGTGTATATAACTGACTGTTTTGCACTCTGGTTAGACCCTCCTTAATTTCGTTACACTGTGCTTGCATTTTGTAATGACAATAAAGTAATCTGATCTAATCTAATCTAAAAAACAGTAAACGTTATCAGCTTCAAAAGGCAGACAGCAGTTACTACAGAAACAGGTTCAAAGCTCAAGGCTACTTACCACAGTGTGTACAAATTATATAAGATGAAATATGTAATTGTCATGCCTTTTTATAAGCAACACGTGTAACATAACACCAGATCCCCTGCTTTGGACAGTCCAGAACAAATCTACTATTTAGATTCTACTTTGTTTAATAGAGTCAATTATAAAGATGTTTTAAAATACAGGAAATATGAAAATTAGCATAAGCTAATGCTAGCTTTGACTGTATGCTCTCTAACCTAATTTAACCAGAGTTTACATTGTAGTTGTATTGTTGGCTGTTGCTAATGTAAATGTTGAGGTTTATATCTTAACTGACACATTTATATAATATTCTTTATATGGTAAACTGATGTAATACAGTCAGATTCTGATTTTAATCCAACTTTGACTAAATATTTAGTAAGTGATGTGTCTGTAGTGTACTCACCAGTGTTTGCAGAGTCCTGCTGTGTTGTTGAGAAAAAGCTGCTGGATTCAGTTGAGTGTTTCTTCAGAGAAACAGAGACTTGTCTCGGCTGCTGCTCTGCTGTCGCTCAGACAAACTTCAGCTTTCATTTCTGGGAAATGTAAACTCTTCTCTTACAGTGTGGTCCCACCTCTCAGTGGCAGTTTGCAAAGAGGAAGTGGAGGAAGAACTATTGAGGATTGTTATTTAACTTTGTGACGATGCATTTTACAGCTGATCCAAGAGGCTTTCAAATTAGTGATGTGCCCGTCGTTCACTCTTTTAAGTGAACGACGGGAGCCGGCTCGCGCCCGCGAACAAGCCGTTTTTTTGTTTTTGTTATTTTTTCATAAGTAATACAAGACAGAATGATATGATGATCTCCGCGCTACAGCTGCTCCGTGCATGCATGCAGTGACATGTAATATCCAAGGATTAGAGACGGTTGGATGCTGCTGTACTGAGCATTGCAATATATTGATTTTCACTATGTTATTTATATATGATTATCCTTGGGCTCAGCAAAGATTTGATGTCAGCTGTTGCTGTCTTTTTTTCTATAGTTAATACTGAAATAGAGCCCTGCTGTTTTGCCAGGGCCTTTTCTTTAAATATAATTTTAAAATGTCGATACAGTAGCCCCTTTTTTTAAATGTCTATGCATACGTTTTTATAGGTGTTGCTATCTGCTTTGTGTAGCGTGGTTCTACAAGCAAGTCTGTGCATTCATTGGGTGGTATCAGAGAGATACAAGGGTCTGTAAATGCAATGAAAACAATTGGCCACAGCAAATAATTGATATTAAACATGTCATTTTTACTTTTGAATAATTCAGTACAAAGGATGTATTGAATAATTTAAGTGATATGTGTACACATATAAATCATTAGACAAAACAGGGCTACATTTGATTGAATTATAAAAGGTATAATATGTGGTAAACTGAAGAGCTGTTTGGGAGCCGAAAGAGCCGGCTCTTCTTCATGAGCCGAGCCAAATGATCCGGCTCACCAAGAAGAGCCGGAATTCCCATCACTATTTCAAATAGTGTATTGAGCATAAGCAGGAATATGTTCTCAATACATAAAGGACATCTCTTTACACATCTGGAGATGTATAGCTATATTTCACAACGCTGTGTTATGGTCCCTGTTTAAGAGCAGCTGGTGAAACATTTCCTCCTCCCTGAACAGGCTGTTTCGAAATGGGTCTTTACTTAAAGATAACATTTCAGAAAACGTGTACTGTAATAAAAAACAAAGTGAAACGTTTTTAATTGTAATATTATTCACCATCCACCTCTTTAAAAATAATGACATTTCAAATGATAAGCTCTATTTTATAAACAGGGCATTAATTAAATAGACTTTACAAGCATATTTCATGCAATTTTGATATTTAAAAAACCCTTTATTTATCTCCCAGTCAGACGGGACGTTTGCAGTGAGTTAGTCTCACCTGTACAGGCAGTGCTGGAGTGTGTTCAAGGTGAAGAATGAGATCATAATCATTAGAAGCAGTCCAACCAGTCAGACCGCTCTCACTGACACAGGCTGCATCCATCAGACACTTACATTAGCTTAGTTTAGCATATATACTAGGAAAAGGGGGGAAATAGTTAGTGACAAAATACACATTTAAGTGTACTTAATATATCTCTGTACAAAAACTGAAATATAAAAACAATTTGGAAACTTGTTTAGGTCCCAGCCAAGAAATAGCCCGACCCATAATCCCCTGTTAAACGTCTTATTGATGTTTTTACTCCTCTGATTTGGTATGGATTAAACAAACTGGATTCAGAGCTGCTGATAGGTGGATTTTGTTACCTTTGGACAGGCTGGCTTTGTCTTCCCCTGTTTCCAGTCTTTATGCTAAGCTAAGCTAACCAGTTGATGGCCATATTTCTAACAAACATATACAGCAATCTTAATATCTATGATCAGCTGATCCAAGAGGGTTTTAAATAGTTTATAAAGCTTCAGAAGAACCAAATCTATCAGACAAATGTAGTTAAGTAGAAATGAAAATAGTTAAGTAAAAAATGTTTAAGATACTTTCCCTAAGTTGAGAACTAGACGATATTAATACAATTAACATAACACAACAGACAGCTGAGATGTAACATTTTAATTTCCCTCGTTTGTTAAACCACTGCAGCCTAATGTTTAATGATCAGATATTGTTGATTCTCCAAGTAACTGTCAATACATTTTGTACCAATATACTATAATTCAATAATCAATCCTGAACTTCCCCTTTAAAACACACCAGAGACCCATCATTTTCCCCTCAATTGAAAATTATAAAAAATATATATATACAGTATTTTACTAATGAAAAAGGAGTGCATTACTTCCACTAGTAATGTGTGCAAGTATGAAACACTTTTTGAACACACAATTCTGAGACAATAAATACTTTTCTTGTCCCCCTGACATATAAAGAAGTGGTAAAAGTTTATTTCTGAGTATAGTTTTCTGATCACTTCAAGTCATGACGGCAGGTAGTGCAATCCGTAGAATAAACTAGAGTACATTAGAACATACTCATCAGTATTTTATGTGTTTTTATGCGTCTCATCAAGGTGAACCATATGTGATCAGATTCTGAAAAATTAACAATATGTACAATGTACTTCCCCAGTTGAATACATTTATTACATTTAGTGAGAGTGAATCTTTCTGTAGAAAATCAAATGGTTGTTCTACTCAGTGTGATTGACAGGAGAGATGATCAGAGGGGCAGAGTTTTTACCATCATAATTAAGATGGGGACCAAAGTATGGGTAGAGTTTCTCTTTGAAGCAGCAGCCAGTGAAGGAGTAGATCAGAGCTGCAGCATCAACATCATAAAAGGAGACCAGACCCTCCTCATAATCCACAAACACCCCCACCTTCCCAGGCTGAGACTTCAGAGAGAGACGGACTGAAGGACCAGCACAAGCTTGGTACTCATTTTCATTCCTCACCCATATCGTCCAGTAACCATTCTGAGGAGACACTGAGATCTGTCCCTTCCTGTTGATCGACTCTCTGACCACTCCTAGAGTCCAATAAGTCTTCCCTTTAACCTGAACCTCGTAATAAAATCTTCCTGAAGAGAAACTCTGCTTTGCTAAGACACAGTCACAATAATCAAATCTCTCTGGATTGTCTGGGAGATTCTTCTTCACATCAACATGTTTCACTTGTTTTCCATCATCAGACAGGATGAGTCTGGGATGTGCTGTATCAGGATCAAGAGTCACCTCCACCTCATACTGCTGGACCCTCTTCAGCTCGAGCAGCTTCTTCATCTGTTTACTGAGCGTCTCCTCCAGCTGAGTCACAGCTCTCCTCACAGTCCCCTCATATGAAGGTGGACGGACCCTGACTTCTGTCCAGTTCTTGGTGGGTGGAGCAGCGTTCAGGGACGTGAAGCTTTGGAGGAGGTGGAGCTGGTCTTCAGAGCGTGACAGCTGCTCCACCTCAGAGCTTCTCTTCTTCAGCTCAGAGATTTCCTGTTCCAGCTCTTTGATGAAGCCTTCAGCCTGTTCCTCTGTCTCTCTCTGCTTCTCTTTGATCGTGTCGATGAGCTCGGCCTGGCTTCTCTCAACAGACTCCTTCAGAGCGGTGAAGACCTGAACACCATCTGCTATCTCTCTGTCTGCTCCTTCCTTACTGAGCTCCACTGAGCGATTCATCTCCTGGATCTTCAGTCGTCTCTTCTGGATCATCTGCTGAATTTCAGCCTCTGTCTTCCCCAGCTCAGCCTTCTTTCCTTCATATTCTTCTTTCAGAGGAACAACATCATGTGTCTTGTGGTCTAAAACAGTGCAGAGCATGCAGACACACACCTGGTCGGTCTTACAGAACAGCTCCAGCAGTTTATCGTGCTTCACACACATCCTGCCTTCCAGGTTCTCCTCAGGGTCGATCAGCTGATGTTTCTTCAGACCTGCTCTTGTCAGATGAGGCTCCAGGTGAGTCTCACAGTAGGACTCCAGACACACCAGGCAGGACTTCAGGGCCTTCAGTCTGGTTCCAGTGCAGGCGTCACAGGGAACTTCTCCTGGTTTGACAACTTGTTGCTCTGAGCTGCTGCTGCTGGCTTTCTGTTGAGCTGACTGTCTGAACTGAGCAGCCATCTCAGAGATGAAAGTATTGACCAGCAGCTCAGGTCTTGGGAAGAAGAGCTTTTTACAGTTGGGACAGTTACACGGGACATTTCTATCCCAGTGTTCAGAGATGCAGGCTTTACAGAAGTTGTGTCCACATGGTATGGTGACTGGATCAGTGAACACATCCAGACAGATGGAGCACAGAAACTGATCTTCAGTCAGCAGACAGCTGGCAGCAGACATGTCTCTCTGAGGACAAAACGTGTGAAAAAAACAAATACTGTAATGTATATATGATTTAATCTCTTGTATCTGTTTGCTATAAGTCAAATAGATGGTGATACTGAACTCTGCTGATGTATCATGATTATGCAGAGGGTGAAAGATTGCTCAAATGTGCAGTACACTGTTATTGTTAAATGTCAAATAATCTCTCTGTTTGTTAATATTATAAATAAATCTTGAAAATCATAGCAGCATTCAGTTTAAACTCTAAGAAACACAATGTGTAAGCTCTAATACTTTTGGGGGATTTTGCCGTTGTTGAACAGAGGAGTGAAACCTCCTGCTGAGCATCACTGAAGTTAATACTAGTTGTTAAAAAACAGTAAACGTTATCAGCTTCAAAAGGCAGACTGCAGTTACTACAGAAACAGATTCAAAGCTCAAGGCTACTTACCACAGTGTCTACAAATGATATAAAATGAAATATCTAATTGTCATGCCCTTTATAAGCAACACTTGTAACATAACACCAGATCCCTTGCTTTGGACAGTCCAGAACAAATCTAATATTTAGATTCTACTTTGTTTAATAGAGTCAATTATAAAGATGTTTTCAAATATAGGAAATATGAAAATAAGTATAAGCTAATGCTAGCTTTGACTGTATGCTCTCTAACCTTACTTAAAGGTGGGGTAGGTAATTCTGGAGAAACCAGCTCAAGTGCGCTAGAATTTGAAAATACACAACCGGAAAAAATCTGCCACTTCCTTACAGAGCCCCTCCTCCAACACACACGAACGCGCACATGACCAATGAGGGCACGAGATAAGTTTGTGCACAGATGGAAGGCTGACAGGCAGGTAGGCCATCCAGTTATTTTAACCCGGGCCGGCTAAAATGATTGGTCGTGCTTTTTACAGTATTACGGCTTCCACAGATGACATTTTCTAATGGATTTGTTGTCAAAGCACTTAAGATATTCATTGCTATCGGGATGTTAAGAGCATTCCATGGAATATAACAAAAAGTGTATCTCGAGCAGGTTTCTCAAACTTACCTACCCAACCTTTAACCAGAGTTTACATTACAGCGGCTCATTTGCGTAATCTTCCCTCAGGGAAAAGTACTCTGGTGTGAACGCGATCTGTACTAAATGCCCTGGGGTAATAAGTGCCGGCACTAAATACGGCAAAGTACTTGGTGTGAACGCGCCTATTGAGTGCATTTTGTCTTCACATTTATGGATGACTATTTTGGGAATAAATATACAGTCTATGGAATAAACGAGCAGAGGGCCATTTTGTGGAGGACTTCTCCCTCAAAACCATTCAGAAAGGATGAAGGCACAAAGAAATAGACAGTAGATTTGATCAGAGACGAGCTGACGGGGGTTCATGAGACCGCAACATGTCCGAGGCGGAGTTTCACATGAGTTCATGAACATCGTATATCACACTTTCAGAGAGAATCACATCCAGAGTTCTGCAGCTCCACTTATCCACATTTATTTATATAAATGTTATTATATACACAAACACACACACGTTTCTTTTGATGTAACGGAGAGACCGGAGCGGCTTCGCGCTCGGGCTGCGGCCTGCTTTACACCTGCTGTAGCGGAGGCCTGTATCCACCTGCTCCACCTGTCGTGCTCTACGGTGCCGAGGAGGTTTTACCACGGGGATATCGCGGAGAGACCGGAGCGCCTCTACGTTTCGGGCTGGACCTGCTTCGCCTATCCTGTACTGCTGTACTGAGGAGGATCTTCACCGGGGACATCGCGGAGAGACCGGAGCGCCTCTACGCCTCGAGCTGGGCCTGCTTCGCCTATCCTGCTGTGCTGAGGAGGTTTTGCACCGGGGTCATCGCGGAGATACCGGAGCGCCTCCACGTTTCGGGCCTGCTTGCGCGCCTATCCGGATGCTGTGCTGGTCCGGGAAAATGGCCCCTATTGTGATTCTGCTATGCCTGTTAGCTATTTTGGACAATGAGAAGTTCTCTCGTCATCCTGAGAAGTCGACTGGGTTCAGGTCTGTTCTACCGCCCGCAGTGGACATCCCCTGTAAAGGTTCGGATTTGTTACACAAACAATTACTGGTTGCCTTGTCACAGACATTCAGTTCGACAAATGTTTGTCTTTCTCACTTGCCTGCTATGATGGTTCTTCAGGACTGCTTCTTGAGCTCTAATCTCACTTTCGCGGAGTTTGCTGGTGACTTTAAAGCAGATGACAATGTATGTGTGTCTGTTAAGAGGAAAAGGTGCTTGTTTTTTTTGCTATTATTACTATCAGGGAATGTACAACTAAACCCTGGACCGCCCAGTAGCAGTAGTAGTCAGATAGCTACTCCTGCTGATTTTATTTCTAGATCTGGATTGGGATTCATTCACTTAAATGTGCGCAGTCTGTTACCTAAGTTAGATTTTGTCCGCATTTGGGCGAGCTCGACTGATGCTGATATCATTGTCTTATCAGAAACGTGGCTAGATAAATCTATTTTGGCCTCTGACATCTACTTAAATGGTTATAGTGTATATCGTACCGACCGTCCTAAAAAAGGTGGTGGCGTTGCCATTTATGTGAAAAATAAGTTTTGTGTAACCAAGATGGTTTCCAAATCTATTAATAAACAACTAGAATTTTTAGCCTTAAATATTGAAGTAGCAAAGGGTCAACAGCTCATGGTGGTGGGCTGCTACAGACCCCCCTCAGCTGTCAAGGACTCTTTATCTTCATTGGCAAAACTTTTATCTCAACTTGACTACAAGGAAATAGTGCTGCTTGGTGATTTTAATTGGGACTGGTTAACTTCTGTGTCAGAGGATTTTAAAAACCTTTGTATCTCTCTGAATGTTGCTCAGATTATAGACAGTCCTACTCGCCCTAACATTAAGTCCCCAAATAAATCCTCCTTAATTGATCTCATTTTAACTAATGCTCCCCATAAATACTTATCTGTGGGAGTATTTGCAAATGATCTGAGTGACCACTGTGTTGTAGCCACAATTAGGGACACAAAAGTCCAAAAGGTTAAACCTCGCATTATCAGTAAGAGAGACAAAAAACATTTTGTGGAGCAGGGTTTTGTTCATGATCTGTTTTGGTTTTGATTGGGAAAGAATCGATCTGTGTGCTGATGTAGAAACTGCATGGTCTTATTTTTATCTTGGTTTTATGGAAATTATAGATAGACATGCACCCCTACGTACTTTTAGAGTGAAGGGACGAGACAATCCTTGGTTTTCTGCTGAATTATCTAGTCTCCTACATGAGAGAAACAAGGCCTGGGCAAAGGCTAGGAAATCTGGCTCAGAGGTAAAATGGCTACGCTTTAGGCAGCTCAGAAATAGCTTCACATCACAAATAAAAAGTGCTAAGTCTAAGTATTATCTGTCAGTTACCACAAAGAACCTGAATAATCCTGGAAAATTTTGGAAAGCCATAAAATCGATATCCACCGGTGATATCCGTAATGAGCTACCTCCGTGCATTACTACAGCAACAGGCACTATATCGGACAGGGCCACTATGTTAAATTGTTTTAATGAGCATTTTGTGTCCTGTGGCTCTCTGTTTGATTCTGTGACAAACTCTGCTTCTGTGAACACCACAGTCTGTGACTCTGAAAAACGTGTTTTGGAAAACCCTTTTAGTTTTACTCCTTTTACTGTTGATGTTGTTCGTGAAGCTTTAACCAAGTTAGATCCTAAGAAACCGGCTGGCCCGGACAACGTAGAACCTTTCTTTTTAAAGATAGCTGCAGATTGTATTGCTCCACCTCTCACTACTCTTTTTAACCTCTCCCTCAGCACAAACACAATTCCAAAATTGTGGAAGTCAGCGTATGTCCTGCCTTTGCTGAAAGGAGGGGAGGCAACTGTTTTAAATAATTATAGGCCCATCTCGAAATGATCAGTTCTGGCTAAGGTTCTTGAACGCCTAGTGAGTGAGCAGGTAAAGGTGTTTTTATGTACAAATGACATCCTGTCTAAACATCAGTCAGGCTTCAGAAAGCAACATAGCACCATCACTGCCACAATGAAAGTGGTGAATGATGTGGCGAGTATTTTAGATAATAAGCAGAGCTGTGCAGCTCTATTTATTGACCTTTCCAAAGCGTTTGATATCGTCGATCATCGCATCTTAAAGCAGAGGCTACTCAGTATTGGCATATCCAGCCATGCAGTGGGGTGGTTTGTGAACTACCTCTCTGAAAGGTCCCAATGTGTTCATTTTGATGGGCTGTCTTCTGAGTGGTTAAACATTACTAATGGTGTTCCTCAAGGTTCTGTTTTAGGTCCACTTTTATTCTCCATCTACATCAATAGTTTAGGTGAAAATGTCGATGGAGCAACCTTACATTTTTATGCGGACGATACGGTTATGTACTGTGCACGTCCCTCCATTAAGGAGGCTGTTGTTGAATTGCAAGCTGCTTTTAACATTATTCAGACTCAGCTCTCAGCGCTTAAGCTTCTTTTAAATGTGGATAAAACCAAGGTAATGCTCTTTTCAAAAGCTAAAAAGACACCAGAGCCTGTTTTAGATATTTTAACTACGCAAGGAATAAAACTTGAAGTGGTTGCCTGTTACAAATACCTTGGTATCTGGCTTGATGATTGTCTCACTTTTAAATGTCATGTCAATAACCTGCTTAAAAAACTGAGGGTTAGGCTAGGTTTCTTTTACAGGAACAAGTCCTGTTTCTCGCTCGAGGCCAGAAAAAGGCTAGTCACTGTGACCTTTTTACCTGTACTGGACTATGGTGATTTGATTTATATGAATGCACCTGCCAATTGCCTGGTCAAGTTAGATGCTGCGTATCACAGTGCACTGAGATTTGTGACAAACTGTAAAGCATTAACCCATCACTGTACCCTGTATGCAAGGGCTGGTCTGCCTTCACTAACTGCACGGAGGCTCAGTCACTGGTACATTTTTATATATAAAGCCATGTTAGGGAAACTTCCATCCTACATCTGCTCCCTGATCTCACGGCGAATTGTAAGTGGCTACTGCCTGAGATCGCATGCTGTGGTTTTATTAAATGTGCCAACTGCTAGGACTGTCTTAGGGAAGATAGCATTTAGATGCGCAGCTCCACTGTCCTGGAATAGTCTGCAATTAAAATGGAAACTGAGCAATCTGGTGCCACTCAATGTTTTTAAAGCTCGGTTGGATGCTACTCAATCGGAAGCTGTTGGTACCTGTGCATGTGGATAGTTATGTAAATTGTAATCCCTGTAATGCTAATGTATGATGTCCTTTTGTTGTTCTGTTTATGTTTTTAATGTTTCATGTGGAACCTACTTGAGCAGGTCTCCCTTGAAAAAGAGGTCAATGATCTCAATGGGATACAACCTGGATAAATAAAGGTTTGAAATGAAATGAACATTGTATTTGTGGCTCTTGCTAATGTAAAAGTTGAGGTTTTTATCTTAACTGACACATTTCTATAGTATAATGTTCTTTATATGAATCCAACTTTGACTAAATATTTAGTTAGTGATGTGTCTGTAGTGTACTCACCAGTGTTTGAGAGAGTCCTGCTGTGTTGTTGAGAAAAAGCTGCTGGATTCAGTTGAGTGTTTCTTCAGAGAAACAGAGACTTGTCTCGGCTGCTGCTCTGCTGTCGCTCAGACAAACTTCAGCTTTGATTTCTGGGAAATTGAAACTCTTCTCTTATATTGTAGTTCAACCTGTCAGTGGCTTTTTGCCAAGAGGGAGTGGAGGAAGAACTATTGAGGCTTGTTATTTAACTTTGTGACGATGCATTTTACAGCTGATCCAAGAGGCTTTTCAAATAGTGTATTGAGCATAAGTAGGAATATGTTCTCAACACATAAAGGACATCTCTTTACACATCTGGAGATTGTTAGAAATTAAAATCAATGTTAAACAGCATAATTCAGTCTAAAACATATCGTCAGTTTAAAGCTGTTTTATTGTGGAAAAACCCGGAAGTTCTCAGGAAATCTCAATGCCAAGCTTTTATTCTGAAAATCCTTCATATCCGGTTAGCAGTTAGCATGTAGCTAATATTACGTTTTCTGAATGTAAAGTGAAAATGACATGGAGTGTTATACACCAAAATGTACGGACTTTAACACTACATCGATAGACGTTGAGATATTATTACTGCTGAATATTAAATGAAGGTACAGTTGATCATAGAGTGTTTACACATTACGTGAGTAGCTATGACGTCAGAGGGAGTTACCATAAATGAGAACTGTGCCGTAGTGGTGTTGTTAGGACTTCTAAACTAAGTATTACAGCTGTTTATAAGGTATTAAATAGAAAGTCATCACAGAGATAAGGAGGAGAAAAGGCTTAAGGAAGTAGGCAGGGAATACAAAATGTCGAAATCATCTGTTCTCTCGCGATATCGAACCAGCAGAGGAGAAGGGAGGTCCCACTATCTGCACAGCGGGGGAGAACGAGAGGAGGATAAAAAGGGAGGAGAGAGGACAACTCGCTCTCTTTCCTTCGTTGCAGCCACCTGAAGACATCACCGGCTTTGTCTCTTCCTTACCTATGCTTGTTCTTTAACCACGTTACTTAATTAAACTACCCATTTGAACCTTTTCAGAGACTCCATTAGTCTCATTATTTTAAGTTTCTTTCCTGGGAGCGAGAAGATCATTATTTATCAACAACTGGTGACCCTGACGTGATAGCCACTGGGAGAGGAACCGCTAGTTTCAACGGAGATTCTGCTAACCAAGAGACACACAAGGGCCCAGATACAAATGGTGAGAAGAAGCCAGTTATATCAAATTCTTCAATAGCTTATTTAGAACCATTTTAGATTTGTGTGTTTTGTGGCGAGCAGGACATCCTGAGAACAGCTGTTAATTTAATCTTAAATATCTAAATTTAAATCACACCACGTGGCGTTGTTTTAGACCAAGCAAGGGTAAGTCTCTATTCTTTTTTCTTTGTTCATTAATTAACTGCATGATTATAATGTGTGTGTTTTACAAGCCGGATATATATTAATGTGCTTTTGAGCCGGTATTTATATATTATATTGTGTTTGACGAGTGAAATAGATGGACTCTTCTCGTTTGTATATTCTCAAGACAGATGGTATCTTCTTGACAGAGAAATAGATGGTATCTCTTCTCGTTTTTATTAGCAAGTTAAAGATGGACTCTTCTTGTTAAAAAGTTAATTCTCGTTTTTAGTCTCAAGAATAGATGGAATCGTCTTGTTTCATTGTCCCAAATAAGTGAGATGGTCTCTTGTTTAATTGGTGATAAGAGTCTGTTGAAGTCTGAAGTATACTCTTTAATCATTGCGTGTGCATCAGTGTTAATTTTGGCAGCTGTTTTTGATTTAGTCTTAGTCTAAGTCTTTAGACGAAAATGGTTATTAGTTTTAGTCAGATTTTAGTCATTTCTATCCTTCATAGTTTTAGTCTAGTTTTAGTCGACGAAAACTCAAAACGTTTTAGTCTAGTTTTAGTCGACGAAAACTCAAAACGTTTTAGTCTACTTTTAGTCGATGAAAAATTACATTTTAGTCAACTTTTAGTCAAAATGTTTTCTCTCTTTAAACCAATTCAGTTGGGCAAATACAGGTATCTGACATTGTAATCAAGGTGACAGCATCAAGTGTTGAAATTCGTAAAGCAACATTTCACTCTCTTAACACTTTACTTGTGTAATATCTAGGGATGGGTATCGTTAAGGTTTTCTACGGTACTACTAGTCTTATCAATACTGCTTATCGATCCGGTACTTTAATGGTATTCTTGTATTTACTTTTTGTTATTTTTTAAAGGAAAAAACTAACAAATTGTTAACCGAATTAATTGCTTTATTTAAATGTGAAATAAATGAAATATGTATAATTATGTTAAAATATTGTACTGTACTTGAGTAAAATGTTGAGGTACTTGTACTTTACTGGAGTATTTAAATGTTTTGCTACTGTGTACTTCTACTCCACTACAGTTCATAGTTAAATGGTGTACTTCTACTCCACTACATGTATTTAATACCTTTAGTTACTTTACAGATGTGGATGAATGATGTGAAATATAATCAAGTGTTAACTCAGACTTTAGTAAATGTTTGGACAGACTACCCTACTCGTGTCAACGCGCTAACGCGAAAACATGGCAAACAAGCTTTGTCCACATCGAGTCTTGTAGAGTGTCTCTATACTCTCTGAACGCTCCGTCCCCGGCAGATCTCTGCCGCTGCAGCGTGTCTGTTAGGCCCCGCCCCCGCACACAGAGAGAGAGGGAGATCGCTCTTCTGGAGTGAAGAGAGCGGAAATAATGATATTGCAAGTTAGAAATGTAAGATGCATTTTGACAGACAAGACGGACACTTGAGGGGAAATACCCTGCATTTTGAATGTCCGATAGTCCACCATTAACACCTTAGTCCCGTCTCGTCTCGTCAACGAAAACTAAATATACATTTCGTCAAATTTTCGTTATCAAGAATCTATTTTTAGCTCGTCATCGTCTCGTCTTAGTCATGTAAAAAAGGTCGTTGACGAACATTTTTCGTCATAGTTTTCGTTGACGAAATTAACACTGGTGTGCATTACGGAAAGAAAACGGCATTCGTGCGTTAGATAGACGATATTCTTCTAATAGTGTTTGACTGGCTTCCCATTTGGTCGCATAATAGCGTGAGAGTTGCTCAGACGACCATAGACTAAATAGTTTTGATGGTCTCTAACTATTTGTATTGTTAACTTGTTTAAATTGTTCAGCATATTGAGAGTGTCGTGTTGTTATACTGCTCTGAAGTTTGGCCTGGAATGAGGTTTCTTTGTTGAAATCAACACCTCAGGATTTCAACGCATCAGAGACAGCCATTCTTCTTGCAAAAAACTCTTTGTTCTCCAGGTCAGCATTTGAAATCAGTTGCCATCTTGTTTTGACCTCATGTTGACAAACAATTACATGGCAGTCGCCATTCTGTGAAATGCAAATTCAGAGGACCAGTTGTTGTTTGTTTTTTTAAATCCATTCAGTTTCACTCACATGAGGCTAATTCAATATTCATGACCTCCATAGTGTGTAGAAAAAATCATTCTTCTTGAGTCAAAGTTGGAATTAGATATTCCATTTTGCTGAATCAGGTTATCTATACCGTTGGAGTTTGGTTTTTGAAGAAAAGGATTATTGTATTTTCTAAAAAAGCTAAAATCTGATTTTTGAAATATTAGTCCTTGCAAAGGAGTTTTACCTGCTTATGCTTTACTGTGCAAATGTGGTTTGGCTGGTTTATGTTTTGTTGATTAATCCTAAAAATTGTGTGTGCAAATGTATGATGGCTGATTTATGCTTTGTCCATTAATCCTAAAAATTGTTCTTGCAAGTGTGTGCTGGTTTAAGTTTTAATGTTAAATCATAAAGTGAATTTCTTTCCCATATCAAAGGTAGTTATTAAGAAAATAAGCTTCTTGTTAAAAAGAAGTCCATTTTTAGAAGGGCTCCCAAGGCTGGAAAAAGCTGAACAATTACAACAGCGCACTCTGCTGGTTGTACAGAATTGTTGCACAAAATAGGGGTAAAAAGAAAAACGTATAAATACAACACCAATTGATTATAATAATTATGCTAAAGTTTACTTTCAAGTGTTATAGATGAACACGTACTTCATCACACATAGATAGAATCACAGGTGGTTCCTGATATTAAGATAAGAAACCTTACATAATAGTCTTTCAACCTAGACTGTAGAATATCTAAACACCACACAATTGAAGTAAACATACACTGTAAAAAAAAAACGTTGTTTTTACGGTAAAAACCTGGCAGCTTTGTTGCCAGAATAATGATGTAAAAAATACGGTAAACTGTAAACAACTTTACAGAACAACGTGTATATTTTACAGTTTAAAACTGTTGTAATTTACTTTTAAATCTGTCATTTCAACAGCCCTTTTCTGCTGAATTAGCATGATCACGTTGCTATTAAACTGATTATTTCAGTAAGATTTACATGCAGTTGTTGTCTATTGTACATTGAATCCCATTCAATTTTACAGAGAAATACCAAACAAATAACACTGTTTAACTGTAAAAGCATCAGTGTAATGCTGTAATTTAACTGAATTTTCCCGCAAATTGTAATCAAAAGTTGTGTATAATTTAGTGTATTTTGCCGTAGTAATGACGAGTTTTACAGTGAAAGCAACATCTAAATACTGCAATTTAAATGTTCTGTAAAATGTATTTATTACAATTAAAATGCAGAAAAAACTGTTCTATGAATAGCAATCTCAAATATATATATATATATATATATAGTATAAAACCGCCTGTAAGGATTATTGATATATAAAAATGTTTTTTCCTATACATTAGTCAGATTGAAAGATTTCATTTAAACTACACTGCCTTCGTATATATACGTTTGACTATTACCAGAAATGTGAAGAATGTAATCCAGGGTACACAGATTAAGCACTTAAAATTTAAAATGCAAAGCTAGATAAACCTCAAGAGCCACTGTATTAAAAGTTGAAAAAATTCCAACAAGAACTTGCCTTTCCAAGAATTTATTATATATATATATATATAATAGCAGTGATCAAAAACATCTGTCATTTCTCAACATACATATTGGTAAAACATACAAACTAAGGCTGCACAATAAACAAACAGCTCACATTGTCCAGGAAATTCAAGCTGAACAAAGTT